ACAAGTCACAGTGAGCAAGATGCAGAATCGATGCTATGTGCAGTGGTCAAAGGAGCCCCAAACTGCACGGCCTGAGAAGTTATAGATTCCTAAGAGGTAATGAGATTTACTATGGACCTTGAAGAATTGACAAAAACTGGGTAAAGACACTGGAGTAACAGCAGAGAAAGAAACACAGCTGAAATTTTCCCACCATCATGTAACTAATTCCATATAGTTGGCCCGTGGAGAACTGCCTTTTCAAGTAATCATTTAATGTGCTTGGTAAAATATAGTTTTTTCAAAAAAGAAAAAAACCAAGGATACATAAGACATAAAAGGTCAGTTAAACTCCATCCTGTTATTTCTGCAGTTGTAAGATGACCAAATTAGCATGTCAAAGCCTTATACAAAGAATGTTGCTTATGGGGATCATCAACCATATACTGTAGTTCTAGCTTAGCAGCAAAGGTAAGACACCTGAGGTCTGTTTGCCCATCTATAAAATGAGGTTGGTACAAATATTTTTCTGTGATGATCAAGTCAGGTAATTTACAAAAGTTCTTTCTAAGAAAAAAGGAAGGGAAAAAATATATATATATACGCACAAGAGAGCTAAGATAATTGCACTGCTAATTTCTGTTGGTTTATTAAAAGGAACAGTTAATGTTTAATTGTTTGATCAGTCTTGCATGCCTATATCTGGTAATCTGAGCAGTTACTTCAGAGATAACAATATGTAATGCAACAACCATTGTTAATTTCCTACCATCTTTTTTTGAAATTCTGTATCATTTTTATTGTTTTTGTGTTGTTTTGTTTTTGTCTTTGATTTTATGTTGCTTTTGTTCTTTTCTCTTTAAAAAATTATTTCTCATGTATAAAACAGAATAGTGATCACTATCACAAATCATTATTATCTATAAAGTTCACCTAATATTGGAGAAAACCTGGTACAGACATCCTCTTAATGTTTAAATTCCTATGACAAACACTGATTCCTGCTTGAGTATTCCCGTGTCAGACAGCTTCCTTTGGGTACCAAACTATGCATCCCATTTGAGACAACTAACCTGTAACAAAGATCTGCCTCTCTGCATTTTCAATGGTCCCAGATTTATCCTCTTAAATGCACAGAAAAAGATGATAGTAGCTTTTCAAGCACTTACAGCTAAAAATTTCCTACCTCTCACCCAAAACCCTAGACTACTCTCCAGAAGAGTTCCAGCTCCTTCAAATGTCCTTTAGGTTTTCATACAAGGGTTTTCTCCCAATCTCCATGAGAGTCTCTCTGGGGTTTGCCAATGTAGTGTACAGCGTGGAACGTGATATTCTAAAGCTAGCTACACTGGCAAGCATAGCGCTGACCCTGGCTATGTCATTCTACATTCCTCGCTTCTGAACTATCTTGGTTCACTCTCTCCATGAACTTAGTTAAGAGATCCTTCCTGAATATTTCAAAATTCAGTACACATACTCGAATAAAAGACTGCACACTTCTGCCAGCTGTACCAGAGAGACAACAATCCAAGAGGTATTTAACGCAGCAGGGCAACTGGTGTTTATGGGGTATGTCCTGTGTCCCCCTACAATGTGTAAGATGAGAAAGCCAATATTTATTTATTTGCATCTCATTTGTTTCCCTAAACAAGAGATACTAAATCATTAAAAGAAGTTCGTCTTTGTTTTTGTATTTCCAACTCCAAAAACAGTGCTGGACAAAAAGAATATATTTGTTTTGTTTTGTTTTGTTTTTGTTTGTTTGTTTCTGGTACCAGGAATTGAACTCATGACCTTGCACTTGCCAGGCAGGCACTGTGCCACTGAGCTAAATCCCCAGCCCCAAAGAGAATATATTTGTTAAAAGTTCAATCCATTACTTAACTCATTGAATTAACTAATAAGATAATGCCCTATAGAAAGAACATATGAAAGACACAGAGAGAGAGAGAGCTGCTATAACAGTCCATGCTTACTAGAGAAACAGATTTAATGCAATATGTACAAATATGTAAGAATTTACACGATTGGCTTACAGTGGCCACCCACAGAGTCAGGAGTAGAAGAATGCAGAAGAGCTGTCTGCTTGCCAGAGATCCAAAGGATCCAGTTGAAGGCCTGGAGCTCACTGTATGAGTCTGAACCAGGAGGCTCCCTGGTCTGCTACAGAAGGCTGAAGGGTGTGCACTGCAAGCCAAGAGACTATGTGCAAGGTAAAGGCAAAGACTGGACTCCTCCAAAGAAACAGCAGTGAGCCTTCCTTCTTCATTTCTCCTTGATTCCGTTCTGGAGACAAGCTGCCCTAGGGTAGGTCTTTTGTCTTTAGTAAATTCCCTCAGGCACACTCAGAACTGTGCTGATCCAACTTAGTTGGATGTTTCTCACTCAAGTTGACATAACCAGTTAACTACCACAGCCTCCAAAGAAGAAACGAGAGCCTCCTCTCATCCACTATCCCCTTTTCACCCTATATCAAGTTAATGGAACCGTTATTAGGTGGGGTCCCACATTCTATGACCACAGCTTGGCTGTATTCACTGGCAAAGAGCACTCACTGCACATTAGAAAATCAGGTCTTAGGTTGGCCTGCTCTTGTTGGTAAACCATAGCAGCTAGAGTCTAGAGCAATATTGGCCAAATATCACATTTCCACCGTTAAAATCTCTATAACTCCAAGAAGTGATATGGCTCAAACTGTAAATATTAAAGATGTTCATGGAAAGATCACTAGGATTACCACTGGCCAGGTGCAGAGAAGGTGAAAGACGCAAGCTTTGGATGATAAATGCACACGAGGTGAATGGTAGATACCAACAAAAAGGATGTGGAAAATATAGATGCTTTGCTGAAATATTTACACTTGATTTTTGGAGTAGGCTAAGCACATAGATGGTATGGTAACAGTGTATTTTGGAAAAGTGAATCTCTGGCTTTTGTGATACTTTTAAGAAGGAAAAACTTCATTAAGGGAGTTGGGTAAGGAACACATGACTCTCACTGTAGCTCTACCATTAATGTGCAGATTCACCTTGGATAACTCATCCTTCACTTTGATGGATCTGACTTTCCCCATATATATCAGAAGAGAGGCACTGGAGGTAGTTAAGCAGTACTTCAGGGTGAGTACCAACTCTCACACTGAGCAGTGAATCTCAGCACCCATCAGACAAATTCTGAGTCTATATCTGGGCTCAAAAGGAGAATACTGCCATCAGCTAGTAATGTCTGCCAGGGGAGCAGCAGGGAGGGACAGTGGCTGCTATGCCACATACTCACCAATGATGACCCCAATCAGGAGGCCAGAATTTAACACTTTTCTACTATTGTATCCCCCACTATCACTTGCTTCTTGCCAGCCCCAAATGTTCCTGATAGCTTATCATTTCTGAGGACTAAGATTGGAATTTTCACTGTTCTCTGTGGCACACTAGAATAGAAATGACCCACACATGTCCCCCGACTTGACACTGTTTCGACCAGACATCACTTACAAACATATCTCCGTGACCTTCTGCTCACTTCCCGAACCTGCTCACTGCTGGGTAAATGTCAAGCCATAGAAAATTCTGCCTTGGGAACAAGGTGCAGAAATCATTTAATTCCATGTAAATGTCCCCTTAATAAGCATGGAGACAAACCATACTTGCCTGTGTAAGGATCTGCTGTGTAAGGCTAGAATGTCCCTAAATAGAATATGGCTCCAGGTTTTCCATGGGGCACCTGCATCAGCAATTCTGTAAGGAAGTCGCCAAGGGAAAGCAACTTTCTCTCAGGCATCCTTTGCCCCTAGCAAATCACAGCTGTGCAAAGGAAAAGTAGGGTAAGGAGATGGGTCATAGCTTGGAAGGTGCAGGAAGAAGAAAAGGATAGTAAGCAAGAAACTAGTCTCATTTCTCACTACCCATTCTCAGAATTTTTCTGCAGCCATACTGTGTCCCTCCCCAGGACTTTGCAAATTTCCCCCACCTGGAAAGCTCCTGCTTCCTTAGCATGGCTAATGCACATTTACCCTTAAAGTCTGAGCTGGCATGTCACTTTCTTCAGGAAGCCACCTAAAATAGGAATCAGGGCTTCCTATACTTTGCCTGTGATAGCAGTGTTAACACTATATTCCAATTCTCTTTTGACTTATCTGCTCCTCACCAATAAAAACAATAGCCAACATCTATTGGATGCTTAGTATGTATTGGGCATGGTATGAAACATCTATCTAACACAGATTCTCACTTAATAGAACAATACCTCAACAAAATGATATCTCAATTTATGAATAAAGTAATAGGTTCAGAGAGGTTAAATATCTTGATCAATGCACCACAGGTAATGTATCTAACAACTAGCAGAGCTATATTATATTAGAGATCTGCTCACACGCTCTTTCCCGCTGAGCTATACTACATTCCCTTCTACATACTGGGCTCCACCAGGCAAGGACCACGACTCAGTCCCATGGTACTCTAACACTGATGTGTCTCACAAGTAGGTGGTAATCAATAGGCATTGGTTGATTGAGCAAAGGTATAAGTAAATACAGAAGTAAATGAATGGACTTGCTGCACAGTTCTTTTTTGAAGAAATGAGGCTAATTAGAGGAAATTACCTGAATGAGGATTAGTGTTTTTTAGTGAATCAAGGAAGAAATGAAAAAGCATAGTGCACCCAAATTGGCAAGGGAAACCAAAAGTCAGAAGCAGAGAAGTAGAACCAAGGATAAGGCCCAAGGACTAGGCCATGAGGGGTGAGGAGCTGTGGAGGCAAGGATCTGTAAGGGTGCCTGGGTAAGGTAGAGAAAAGTAAAAAAGAGACAAACCAGGAAAGGTAATAAACTAAGGGTGTGACTGAAAGTCTGTTGTCACTTCTGCTGGCCACACCACATAAGGGATTGTGACAGTGAAGCTTGACTGTGTCAACCTGGTTAGTTTGGAAACCACATAGGAGACTGGTAGAGCACACCAGTGGGTGTGTCCGGGTGTGTCACAGAGGCGTGACCTTCAGTACTACATCTGGCCCCGCCCCTTCCTCTCTGATGCTGTTCTGCATCCCTTCTGCCATCAACTAAACAACTTTGCTCTACCATGCCTTTCACCATGATGTTTCTGCCTTCGAGCCAGCCCAGCATGGACTGAATCCCCTTAAATTGTGAGCCAGTTAAACCTCTCTGGCTTTATGTTTTGGGCATCAGGTATTGTATCCAACAACATGAAAGCTGACTAATTCAGGGACGGTTGCTTTAGAGTCAGGGATAGGTATACACAGGCATAAGAACCATAAAGAGCTATACACCTGGGGGATGGGGATGTAGCTCAGCAGCATAAGTGCTTGCCTGGAAAGCGTCAGGTCATGAGTTCGATTCTCGGTACCAAAAAAAAGAGTTATACGGCTGAAATCAGAAAATGATCCCAACATAAATCCTCCCACTACCAAATCCACTCTACTAAGCAAGGCCTGATGCTCCCGGCATTTCTCTGCCTTTACTTATAAAAACAGAGATTCTCTACATGAGCTATTTCTTTTCCATAATTGCTCTCATGGTAAAAATTTCCAATATTGCAGCACAAGACACCAGTAAGTTAATAAATAGGGCAGAAATAACCTCTTGCAAGATCTGGGGTAGGTGAATAGTGCTTATATATGAGTAGCCTTATTTAGTACACTTGGACTATTAAGGTCTGTTCTTGCAAGATTTGTTTATCATCCATAGCTGCTTAAAATTTTTTTTCTCCAAATCTACAAGTGCTTATTTGGTGCCTTTTGTGTCCCAGCAGTTACTCTGAAAGATATTGAGATGAGTCACACTGCTATTTTCTACATATCCAGCAAGGACTCCATGTTCAACACAGGAAAGCTGGAAGATAGTTTAAAATCACAAGACCTGAATTCAAGGCAAGGTCCCTACCTGGGTCATCTGGCTGCAGCAGTGACAAGTGCCTTGCTAATCTGGTGATGGTGAGCAATTTAAATCACCTCTCAGCATCCCGGTTTCCTCGCATGAAGAAATAAGATAATAATCTTTCACTCACAGGGTTGCCACAGAGATTGAATTGAAACAGAACATGGGAGAGCTCTCTGGAAAACTATAAAGCATATGCAATCGTCATTCTAGAAATTCCTCTGCTTCTCTGTGGTATCACCTCATTTAACCAGCAGGTTTAGCCAGTGCCTAGGACTGAAAGTTCATGAATATGGACCTTGAAAAACTAAAAGAAAACAGCTGAGTTTAAGTGATCTAAACCAATGTGTACTGCTGACCAGTGGCACACAAAACACCCAACAACAATTAAGCCTCTTAGCAACTATCTCACCATTTGAAGTAAACTCAAAGAAGTAAAGCAGCTTGCCAGACAGCAAATGAACAGAGCTGTTAATCATGTACAGAGTAGCTAGTCTCCTCCATACTAAGCTCCCTTAAGAGGAGAGAGGGGTAAGTGTTCTGTCTTGTTCGTAAATGCTGCCCATCTCCAGCCCTGAATCAGTAACCCCCAGATAGTCCATCACAATGGATCTCCATACTCCCTCTCCCAACACTATAACTTTTCTCCTCATCTCTCGATTCCATTATTCTCCAAGAAACACACAAGGGACGAGCATATCAGCACTGAGAGGAAAGGCATACATAAGCCAGTTTCGTTATCAGCCTTTCCCATGTTGTGATTTCAGGCTGGGAAGGAGGAAGAGGAGCTGTAAGTAATGCTAATAGCACCATCCAAGGAGCACCAGATAACAGCACTGCAGTCCCAGGAAGGAGATGCTTTTGTGCCTTGTGGGTTTTCATTACCATCCTGTCTGGGAGATGAGATTCAGGGAAGTCAGACGGGATGGGCGTAGAGACCCCACTAATTCCTGTCTGCCCCACAGCTCCCCCAAAGAGGTGCAAAGAATGGATTCCCCCACATATTACCTGAGCTAAGACTTTGCACTTCCTGGCAGGCAGAGGAAAGCAATAGCAAGGAGATCCGACATAGCTGGGAGGAGAGGAGGCCCAGGAGGATGACGCCGTCCCTGCCGATGACAAGAGGTTGGTCACATTTGAGGGCTAAAGAGATAGAAGTTGACCCTGAGGGAAGAAGCTGTAGGGAGACACAGTTTATCTCAGTAAAAGGGGGGATATCAGCCTGGCATAATAGCTTAGAGGGGCGTCACTCAGGGGAAAGTGGTTGCTCTGCTCCCAGAATATTCCAGAAGTTGAGAAACCTTGAAGGGAGGTCACAGAGCACATCTATGCACCTGGTGATGGCAAGATGACCAGAGGGCTCCCAATTCTGTTCCAAACTAGGATTCTGATTGAGGTAGTATAGCACAGCACTCAAGGCCATAGCCTCTGGAATCAGAAATCCAGGTTCCCCAATTATTGGCTGTGTTACTTAACTTCTCTGGGCCTCAATTTCTTCTATGAAATGGAGATCATAACATCAGGGGCCTTATAGAGGTGGTGTGAGAAGTATTTGACATGGAGTGAGAACTCGGGAGGCAGGTACTGAGCAACCAGAGGTCCCTGACAGTCTTCAGGGATACAGGAAGACAGTTATATACAAGACACATCCCCATGCTTATAAATAAATGCATGTAATTTTATACACAGTTAAGAGCTCTGAAGAACATAGTAGAACGTAATATAATAGGGTATCCTTGCAGAAAGGGCTAGGGAATAGTACACAGGGAAGGGTTATCACTTAGAACGGCAGACTCTGGGCTGAATGTGCCAAATAAAGAGAACTCAGCCAGGATACCTTGGGGCCATCCGGGTAGGGTGACAACACAGAGGCCTCCAAGGCAGATGAAAATGTAGAAGGTTAAGCATAACAGCAAGAGAAAGCCCCATTTGTGTGAGAATAAAGGAGGAGGGAAAGTCCATGGGAAATGAGATCAAACAAGCGACAAGGTCCGATCACGTAGGGCTCCAAAGGTCAGGGAGTTTGGATTTTATTTTAAGGCAAAATGGAAACCATTGAATGTTTTAGGCAGGGTAATGCTAGTGCAATTCACATTTTAAAGTGATAGTCTACTTCACATGGAAAGGCCTCCCATGCACACACCTTCCTGTTCTTTCTGTGTCTGCAGAAGCTTCTGAAGCCTTAAAAGTGGTCAGAGTTATAAGATAAAAGATGCCAGGGACCCCATGCAATCACACAGGAAGCCTCCCGCTGACCAGCAACTATAATGTTGGGCTGTTAGGGGGTAAAAATACATGTTATTGTGCTACACCAATGGAGGAGGAAAGAAAGGGATGCCGGAGAAAAGGAAGAGTGGGAGGAAAGGACTTTCCAGCTGCTACGGCAAGAGTCAGGGAAGAAGCAGAAGAAGCTGATAGACTTTCTCTCTGTTTCTCCTACAGTACCTTGAATAAAGTTGGTTATGTATTTACTTATTGTAAATAAATGGGTAGACTCAGTCAAGGGCCAGGTAAACTGTGACACTGATGAGTAGCCCACTAACTACCATTGTTGGGGACTGACTCTGAGGAAAAGTGGCAGATGACAAAAGGGGCAGAGCAGACTAACCTGAGACCACATCCCTGGTACCTTACCTCCCCTTTCAGAAGTCAGGTTTGAGGTAAATAATATTATCCTTCATCAGATCCCACACTGCCTCTTTGACTCCTTGGCAGATATACAACATTGTCTTTACAACAAGAGGCTACAGAAATACCTAGACATAGGCAGTTGGGTTTTAGGCTCCAGTGGCTAACCCTGGTCATCTCCAGCCAGACATCGCTAACCTCCACTTGGACATTAGGTGCCTCCTGTACAGTCACTCATCAGCAAATATTCACTAAGCACCTACCAGTATGGGGCACAGAGGCAAGTGCTGGCAGCACAGAAGTAAACCAGAGAGACAACCTCCCATTCTGTTCTGCCACATTAGCCAGCAACAATGCACAAGACAGACCGGGCTCCTACTCTTGTAGACAAGCATCATTTCAGATCCTGATAAGAGCCCTTCAGAAACTAACAGTGTAATATAATAGAGCATCCCTGAGGAAAGGACAAGGGGACATAAACTAGGACAGGTGAGGAAGCAGATATTCTGATAGGAAGAAAACAGAGACCTTAAACAAAGGAAATGTTTCAGACAGTGATGAATGCTACAGCAAAAAATAAAGCAGGAAAGGGGGAGCAATCGTAGGAAGGAGCTTGAGAAGCAGATTTCTGTGAGGGATATCTAAGCAGTTGTGAATCCGAGACCGGTTGACTTTTTAAATATGGCGATAAGGAAAAGGACAGAGTCAAGGATATCTCCTCCATTTCTGGTTTGTGCAACAGACACTGGTGCAATTTACTAAGGAAAGGAACACCATGGAGCCAAACTTGTGGGAAGAAGACCCCGACTTGGCTTCTGAACATTCCTTTGTGATGTTCAGATAGTGCTCTCAGGTAAAGAGAAGGTAGGTGTCAGCAGCACACAGATGGTAAGTGAAATTCGGAGCATGGATGAGAGTTGGTAAGAATCAGAAGGCCTACATTCAGAGCAGTGTAGAAGCTTTCTGCTCATAACCTAGACTCATTCCATTTTTCTGCTCCACCATCCTTAGAAAAGCCCTCGTCCTGTGGTCCAAGATGGCCGCTGGAGCTCTAGCTTTTAAGGGTGGTCAGTAAACACTGGTGTTTCCTCTCTACCTTTGGTTTGCCCTAAGATCTTGTAAAACTCTTCTCCTCTCCAAAGACCTGTTTTCCCATCTGATATGTTTTCCTTGTTGTTCTAATGCAATCTGACTCTACCCAAATGAAGGTTGAGTGGCTTCCATCCAATGCAGGGATCCTGCCCTCCTGTGACTTCGTCACACAAATAGGGTACTCATTCTACTGAGAAACTGACCTTTAAATATTCTATTTTCTTATTGGTGCTTAGGATATGAGCTCTCCAGGGAACTCCGAGGGTAATTGCTTTTGCCTGCGCTTGGGAAGGGGCTGACTTTGATACAAAGCTGCTCTCGCCTGCAAAGTTTAATTTAGCTCTTTTGTCTACATTAAATTCCCTGGGAATCATCCTTTATGTGGTGCCAAACATATCACATGGCTGGCCATTTCTAGCTGAATTTAGACTTGCCCTTTTAGCTAAGGATCCTGGTTGCTCTAACTGCCAGGGTCAAGCAAGCTGACTTCCATTTCCCTTGGGATCCTGTCCCTGGGAACTGTGGGTAATCTGAACCCGCCACTGGGTGTCAGCATTGCTTTGTCCAATTAAAGGGGGAATAAGAGACATTTGTGTGGTTTGGGAGTTCTTTATGCAGTAAGTTTGGGCTCCAAGATGAACACAAGCACTTTACAATGCACATGTCACGGGATTCACATTTCTGTTGTACCAGGGGGATCATTATCGTTACATCGAGGTTCTCCTGGCTCATTTCAGCTGTGCTCTGTCCTCCACCTGGATCACTGTCACAATCCCCATTTTCAATTCTGAGTCCCTCAAGTCTATCCTTTTCATCAGGTTACACACAGGACTATAACAGGCTCATTGGTAGCATAATGACCTCCGCTGTCACTGGAGGTTTGGAAACAGACAATAGAATACCACCTGGCAGGAAGTTTTCCACAATACATAAATACAAATATATAGCTTACAAATATAAATACAAACATGTACATGTTCACTGTGTATGTAGGCGTGTACACACATTTATATGGCTACATTATACTAGATTAGATATGATATCTTTTTAAAAATCTTGCCCACCCACCCTTGCCTCCAAACTTGAATCTAGCGCTGTCTTTTTCCTGTTTCAGAGCTGTCAGTGGCCCCCTGCCATCCATAACAATGTAAAATCTCATAGCTGCCCAGCTTGGAAACACAGCTTCTACTCCCGGCTGTCCAGGACTCCTCAGCCTTACTTCCCATAGCAAACATCAGTTTTTAGCAAGAAAGAACTAATTTCACATTCTCTGTGCCTTTGCTCACATCCAGCCCCACTCTTCTCCCCGGGGCCACCTCCATTCATCCTCCCAGAGGCTCCTCCAGGGAGCTTCCTGGGAATTCTTCCACCTCTCAGCCTAAGCTTTCTGTAGAATCCTAGAGCACATGGACTAAGGAGACGACACACCCTACTTGTAGTGTACCAAGGTTAGCTGTTACGTGTCTGCCATGCCCTAGATTATAAATACTCTAGAAGACACTTTGAGCTTTTCATCTCTGCATCTCTGGCTCCTGCCACTGTGTCAGGCAGGTAGCTGATACTTAGCAACTGTGTGGTTTAACAGAATTCAATGAAATCTGTGATGCTATTAAGCTTATTTCGCTGAGTCGCCCTCACTTGTAGTCCTAGTGGCAGTCACCTGGGTTCAGAATTTTCCTAACTTGTCACTTCCTTCATGGGATGATTCCTGCCATATTTGCATACCCTGAGCTACTCTTTTGAAAAACTTTTCCTTTACATCCACTTACATTTGTCTCAAGCAAATTTGTTTTATATGGAAACCTTGTATTATACACCCATATTTCTTGCACATAAAGAAGACAGCTTAAAAACTGTCAAAGAAAGATGTTCTATTAAATCAAGCTACATAATCTTCCCTACATACTCGATATGCTGAGACCATTAGCGAACTGCTCATCCCTTCTGAATCACACTTCTTTGTCACATGACTTGAGTTCCTTTAGATGAACAGGAAAATTCTAAATCTCTTGATTCTGAATTAAGCCATAGCATCTGCTGTACCCAAGCTTGTGGCAGTAGATCTAAGACATATGCAGACATGAAAAGCTCTTGCATGGCTGGGTCACTTCTCTGTAATGAGAACATGGTCAAGATAGCCTCTTGGAAGATATGAGAAATACATGAAACAGTGCACAGTGACCTGAGCTGAGTCAGCTGAGACTCTGACCAGCAGACATGAAGACAAGTCCAAATCAACACCAAAGGAACCCAGGCCTTAATGGCTGACATGCTGACTACATAGATAAACAAAAGTTTATGGTTGAAAGACAGGATACTTTTAGGAATGTTTGCTGCATACATGGATGTGGCATAGATAACTAATATATTTGCCAAGGCTCTGAGACAAAGCACTTTTTTCTCTTTGTTAAGAACGTAGATGAGAAAGTGGTTAAGGGGTGTTAAAATATTAGCACCCAACTGCAAATGCCTTCATGAATCATATAGGAAGAAACAGAACTGAAACCGGAATAACTGTCTCACTTCATAATTCAATGTGATTCATCATAATTTACACCTCAAGTAGTCTCTGCACCCTTCCCGTACTTTAAGATGGACTGCCCAAGTTCTTACCGTTTTTATTTGTGGACAAAGGACATTGCTTCCTGTGGAGGACCATCTGAATGACTCTTCTTGAAAGAAGAGCAATTATCCCATCTTGGCTAAACCTGACCCAATTTCCATGTATTGATATGTACAGAGCTGGGTAGGACTTTTCCTTATCCTTTCAATTGGCTTTAAGAAAAACAAAGCAGTCCAGCCAAGGTGCTGATGTGTAGTCTTTGAAGTAAGGTGACAGGTCAGCATTATCCCACCCCTATAGCTCCCCAAAACCGTGTGTGAGCCAGGTAGGATGGAGAGCCGTGCTCCACACTGTGGGTTGGAATCAGCCTCCAGATAAGAAGCTATGTCTTCCCAGGGCATAAAAGATTACACATCAGAGCTGAAGCACGGAACCTAAAACATCACATACTACCTGGAATTGTGTTATGCAGGTTACTCCTCCTGTAGATCCTTCTCTGTGCATATTGCAAAGGTGATTTCAGACTACCTACCTACCGCAGCTCACAGCACTCATCTACTACCCGCCATTCTCACAGTCACTCATCCCTGAGCCACTCCCTTCTTCATGAACTAAAATAACCTGAGTTCAGCCCTGGGTTGAGGCCTTTGTTCTGGTTAGCCTACCTTTGTTCTGGTTATCCTACCTGGACTTAGGACCCCCATGGCTCCCCACAACCACAAATATGCCTTCATGTCTTTATTCTCGCCATTGTTGCACTGGAAGTGGTTAGTTGGAATTAATTCACTAGAATTCCAATAACTTTCCATAGGATTACAAATACAAACTTCTCGGACCACAAAGAGGACAGTGAAGGGCTCTCTATAGTTTCCAAAATGGCCTTAGGCTTACTGTCTAAAAAGTAAAGTCAATATTTGATTCAAATTCCAGGTGCTCTGTGATCTGGATCCAATCTTGCCCCTCCAAACTTGTTCCCACTGCTGTGCACTTTTCACGACCAGCTGGACAACCCAGTTTACCCAGTGTTTACTGAGCACTTGTTGCCCAGTCAGAGCTGGACACCCAGCTACAAGGTGGGGGAAAGGTGATGGTATAGACAGAGCCTTTCTTTTTCACAAAGCTCTTGGCTGGTAAGTAAAACATAAACAAGCACATAACTAATAGATTGTGTAAAAGGTAGGTCCAGAAAGCTATACACACCCAGAAGATTGGTATCTAATGCAAATAGGAGAAAGGAAGCTGGGGATATAGCTCAGTGGCATAAACACCTGCCTGGCAAGTGCAAGGTCCTGAGTTCGATTCCTGGCACCAACAAAGCAAATAGGAGAAAGGAAAAACTGATCAGAGGATCGCAAGAGGAGATGATGTCTTTAGGCATAATGAAGCCTCTCCAGATTTTTCCACTACAAGCTGGAGTAACTAACTATGCACCTCCTTGAACCTCTATATCATTTCATATGCTATTCACCTTTCACTTATCCATTTTCTTAGACCCTCAGCTCTCAGAGCACTGATCATTCATCTTTGCACCAACAGTAGCAGTAGATCACGAGGTGAACACTGGACACTAACATGTTTGGTTGGTGGATGGATGATGGATGAATGAAGGTCTTGAGGGCAACAAATTAGAAGAAATTTTGACACCCTTTTAGTCACTCCCTTTCCTTGGCTGCCTCATCATGTGGTTCCCAAATCTAGCAGCATATAAGGTTGAGCCAGGGGCTTTAAAGTATATATTCCTGGACTATACTTCCTTAGGTCTTCTGATTCAACAGATATGGGGATCTGGGAATCTGTATTTTAGTGTACCCACCACAGGGTTCCCATTCATCTGTGATCCAAGGACCAATGTTTAGGGAATGTCAGTCTGACTCACCTGAGCATCACATTGGCACCATACTCTCAGCTGTTCTATTTTTGCAGTGCTCAGTATCCCTTTCAGGAACGGCTCAACTTATTCAGATAGCCTGTAAGAAGAAAATATCACCAGGACTTACACATTTCCAAAGAGAGCTGTATCAATAGTAATATCAATAATGTGCTGGCATGTACTAAGTACCTAACAGGTATCAGGTATTCTGCTAAGTGCTTCTGGGAATAGTGGCTCATTTTGTCCTATTAGCAACCCTAATACAATGGGTACTATAACCAATGAAGACATAGAGACACAGAAAGATCAAGTAGCCTGTGAGTGGTGAGACTGATTTCACAGGCAGGTCAATGTCACCTCAGAGCTCCAGGATCATAATACGTGAATGTGATGTCCAGATCATTACACATGTACCATGGTAATAAGTGACTAAGTGGGAGGGGGTCAGCCTAAGGAAGGATGAAGCCCAGCTAGATCCAAGGAGCTTCATGGAGGAGAACTTAGGGAAATGGAAACAGAATCAGACACAGAGTGAGCATTCTGCATTCCATTCCCAGCACTGTGAATAGCAATGACAGAAATAGTAAATGTCTTAGGGGTAGGCAGAGAGGTCACGAAAAAAAACCAAACTGCAAGGGAAATACTTCAAAGAATCAACAACTGGGATCTCATCTTATTGAAAAGTTTTTGCACATCTAAAGAAATCGCCAATAGAGTAAAAAGAAAACCCATGATTTGGGAAAAAATTTCAGCCAATTGCCCCTCAGACAAAGGACTTCTATCTAGAACATATAAAGAATTTTTTAAAAAATCAGGCCTTCAAAATTCAAAGACCCAGTCCAAAAACTGGACATCTGGGATGAAAACACACTTCTCAGATGAAGAAATACTAATGGCGAATAAATACTTGAAAAAATGTTCAATATCATTAGTCATTTGAGAAATGTCAATTAAAACAACTCTGAGATTCCATCTCACCCCAGAAAGAATGGCTATCATCAAGAAATCAACCAATAACAAATTCTGGAGAGGCTGTGGGGAGAAAGGAAGACTACTGCACTGCTGGTGAGAGTGTAGACTGGTGAAACCACTGTGGAAATCTGTTTGGAGATTTCTCACAAAACTAGGATTAGAAGTCCCACTTAACCCAGCTATTCCCCTTCTGGGTATTTTCCCAGAAGAATTAAAGACATCATACCACAGCGATATATGTGCACCCATGTTTATAGCAGCACAATTTACTATAGCTAAATCTTGGAAACAACCCAAATGTCCATCAACCGAGAAGTGGATAAAAAAGATGTGGTATTTTTATACAATGGAGTATTAGTCAACTATAAAAAAGATAACCTCAAGGCTTTTGTAGGTAAATGGATACAACTAGAGACCATACTCATGAGTGAAATAAATTGGACCCACATGTGTAAATATCATATTGTCTCCCTAGTGTAGGAACCTGAAAGAGTAAGTAAAACTTAAAACATACAATAGATGATAGGAAAAGGAAAGAAATTGCTCAAAGGAAGGAACGACTGGGATGAGGGAAAGAAGAAAAAAGAAAGATAGAAGGCTATATATCTATATCTATATCTATAATATATAGCTGGAATAACTGTACTGCTGATGTCTGATGGTATATTGAAAGGAACACTTAATGTTTAAAATTTTTATATTCTGACCAATTTTGCATGCTTGTTCTGAGCAATTGATTTGAAGACAACCATATACAATGGAACAACCCATTGGTGAATTCCTACCATCTTGTCTAGTGAAACTCTGTATTATCTCTAATTTCTTATCTAATAATTATGCTTTATTCTCTTTAATGGTTTGAACAATCTTCCATTCTTATATCTGGTAATCTGAGCAAAGTAGTTGAAGATAACAATATGCAATATAACAACCACTGTTAATTCATACCATTTTGTTTTGAAACCCTGTATCACTTTTAATGTGCTTGCTTGGTTTTGTTTGTTTGTGATGTTGGTATGCTGCTATTGTTCTTTTTTTTTCTTTTGTTACTCTCTTTAAAATAAAAAAAGAAATAGTGAATGTCTGATATAGTTGATTCTGTACCAGCCCCTGTTCTGAGTACTTTCCCCAGAAGTACTGATTTAATCTTCACCACACCCTAGGAGGTAAGAGCTGTTAGTCCACCAAAGTACAGGGGAAGTAACTGAGGCACAGGCATGTTAAGGACTTGTTCATGGTCACACAGTATTAATGTGGGACTCCTGGATGCCCCATCCAGGCCCCCACTTCTGGCTGACACACTGGACAGTACTTCGCCAAATGAACTTTGGTGATCTATTCTTTCCATTGGTTTAGGTCTCGAATACAGACTAAAGGAGTTGGCTTCCATGATGCTCATGGGTTCTCCCAGTTTAGTCTGATTTTATTTAAATATTGAACAGAAGAAGTACAGATCCCTCTTTTCTCCAGTGATATTTTTAAATTAGATGCTTTGTTGGTGAAGAATTTGATGAAGTCTTATATGAAGTCAATGAATGAAAGAAACAATGTCTCGAAGTCATGACTTGATATAGCAAGACCTCAGAGAACACTTGGGAACTGAAAAGAATGCCCTCCTCCTTTACAAGGACATGTCACCACCAAGGATCTTGAGAAGCTCAATGCCCACTATGAAACACTTGACAAGAGCCACTTCTCCCACTTGAGAAACACAGGCTAGGACAAGTTAAGTCAAACAAACAGGAACTGCAATGCAGCCAATGTAGTTGCTTTTAATTCTGTAAGTTATGTGCTATGGGAAAAGTCATTAACCTCTCTGAGCATTTATTTTCTCATCAGTAACATGAAACAATAACTACCTTTCTCACAAGGTTGTCGTGAGGTTTAAGCAAGATAATACAAACAGAAACATCATTAACAACAGATACTATCACAATAAAACTATTACATGCTTAGTATATGGTTGCAGGCATTTTTCTAAGGAGCTTACAATTTTTTGATCAATAAAAACAAACATGTTATCTCTTCAAAGCGACCTCACACCCTCTTCTTGGATCCACTATGATGAATAACTCATTAACTTCCAGGCTATTTCTCTGGAGAATTATCTTTATAGTGGTAGAAATCATCCCTTCTCACTTACTGAAATATTTCTAGCACTTGGATGTGTATTCAGCAGAAAATTTCTCAAAAATCATATGAGTGAGTCTTACGAAGGATTCAATAGTCAGTAGGTTTGCTGTTATTATGACAGTTAACATTGATTGAGTATACATAGCATTAATATTTAATAATAATAGATAGCATCAATGGAGCACCTAAAATGGCATTCTGTGGAAATGATACTACTTAAATTGCATGGTAACACAGTAAGACATGTAATGTTTTATTACGATACTTGTCTTATACAAATACATGCTGTAACTCGCTGGAATCCCTAATATCAGCTTGCAGAAAAACATGGATCTCCACCAGGCATGCACACTCTCACAATGCCTCATCCCCTACATGGGATGTAATAATGAAAGGACTCCAGCAGTGGGACTCCTTCACTTTGCAGTAATCAGTTCTTCATCAAAACCCTTTCACTGCACTCAGAGTAGTGTGCACAGAGCCAGAACTTTAAGGACCTTAACGTCTTGGTGCCTGTCATATATTTTCACTGAGCTCCCAGATCCCAACTTAAATAATAGATGCTGCCCTGTAGTTCAAGTTTCGCATGAAGTTGCAGATGATAGGTTGCTGGTTAGCATGTCAGCTGAAGGACAATATATTTTAATGCAAATGCAATGAGCTGGAACAACGGTATTTCTCCAAGAGCCTTAACTAGGTTAGCATGACCTCCAAAGGGGCCAGAACTCTAACAGCAAAATTAGAATAGAAAGACTTATGGAGTATCTATGCTAATCAGCCATGTTCCCCTGGAACAACTGTCTTCTGCACAATGGCCAATTGCCGTGTCCAACCAGGGCATCGTTCCGTCAGGTGACTGATAGAAAACGATGACTCAGAGTGCTGGGCAGGCCTCATGAAGGCAATGGCTCTCTGAAAATGGAGGCAGAGGTAGGATAAAAGTGATGGGAGCCCAGGTAAAGAGAAGTTTTGGACAGGAATTCTTCCACACAACTTTTGTGCTTTGCAGTTTATGTTATGCTGCAGTAAAGACTCTCCGATTCAAATTTGCTAAGAGCAATGTTCCTCTGGGACCTGAGACAGGGATGAAAAGGAGAGGAAGACGTGAAAATGGCTCTCGAGAGACAGAGGGTTTTGCCTCCCCCCAATCTTTGCTCTTGGCTTGAGGACCATATCTTCTTACAGCAAAGGGAAAATGCCGGGGGTTTTTTGGCCTGGCCTAAGGAAAAACCTTACCATTCCCTACCTTGGTTTTGTTTCAGAATTAGAGGAACTGACAGAAGTCGAGCTGGAGAGACACAACACTCTGTACAGACAAAGCCCAAAAAGCAATCAGATCTGACTTGCTCTAGTTTATCCATACATGTGCCTGTAAGAATCAACAACAACCAAAGACGGGAAACAACTGAAGCTGTACCACTGCGTCCCTTGGTATTTGCGATGCCATCTGAACAGATTTTTAATGGTTTTCCAAAGATGACTTGGCACCTCCCCAGGAATACTGAATCATAATCACAAGGGGAAACAGAGGAGAAATGGTCTATGTTTTTAAATAAGCCACCCAGATGATTCTGATGCAGGACCAACTTTGAGAATATCTGCTCTGGACCACGGTGCCCTGCACAACCACCTGGAGGGAAAGTACAATGGGACCCAGCTTTCAGGCTACATCCAGCATCGAGAGCTGTGATCCTAGAAACCCGCGTACGTAGTTGTACTCTCTCGTGACACTGACCCCAAACAACATTAAAACAATTAATATGCACATAGCACCTAGTATATGCCAGGAACCTTTACATATATTATCTCACTACAGTCAAAGATTACTGTTGCTTAAAGAGTTTAAAAATTTATCATTTAAGCAGGTTATCTTCAGGCAAAATTTTTAAGCAGCAACACTGTGTAGTTGGAGCACACGATGTTGTTCACACTTTGATTTAAATGACGACAGGAAATGAAATATGTTGCCTGTATAAACTCATCTGTCACGCTCTCCTGAGCGATAGGGAAAAGAACTAAATGACCAATCTAGTTTAAATTTAGTCTGTTCTTATCATCTAAATGGTCACTTTAGGTTGTACCAGTCTTCCTTCAGTGAATTTTTGTTTAATTTTCAGATAAATTCTTCCTGTTTCTCCACCAAGATGAACTCTAGGTATAAGGAAAGGGTAGAGGGGGAAAGATGTCATACAGACATGCTCATGGCGCCGTGCAGGACAGAGGTACCGCACTGTGCCTGCTCTGGTCCAGGATCACATCCCTTCTCCGCCTAGAAGCTGCTTAGCCTTCTGGCCACTGTGGCAGAGACGGAAGTTGGCAGGACATCTACTGTCTTTTGTTCTCTTGCCTCATCCAGAGCACAGAGCCGGGCTGACCCTGGGCTACAGGGCTTCACCTTGCGCAATGCGGGCACCACATCCTTCCCTAAGGCTTGGCCAGAGTCTCCTCTCCCTCTCATCTGCCGGTCCCACCTGCGGTCTGTGGCTGAGCAGTCTGCCCAGTCCCTGTAACTTGCTCTGGGAGACCCCCAAATACAGCCTCAGGAACCATCGGAGCCCAGCCTATACCACACAAGACCGGCAGGTTCAGCTTGTGCCCCCTGAGGGTGGGAAAGAAAGAAATGCACGCCACTGCTGTTCCAATTTATCTAGTAGGGGGCTCCTGCTTCCCATGCCAAAGCCAACCCAGGGATGAGAAGATTAGGACCATGCCTCTTTGTTCTGTTCTGCTGTCCTTTCTCTCCTTTGGGTTTCCACTGCCTTCCAACACTGAGAGGAACAGGCTGTGCCTTGCTGGGAGACCCAGCTTAGTTAGATGAAGCATGCCTTGATATGCTAAACAGGCAACTGAAGGGACAGAGAGGACCCCCTCTGAGACTATAGCCTGTTACTTGGATGCTCTCTTTGGTCTTCTCCCTCCCCTGGCATTCTTAATTTCTTCTTCCTTTCTGTAGGCAATAGACTCCCCCGCTATCTAAGCAAAGCCTTAGCAACTGAGAAGACAAAAGATAAAAACATAAATGGCCTTTGAAAAATACTACCCCCTTAGATATCTGTTACTATATGACTTACAAAGGGAATTTTGCTTTGCAAGAAGGCAAAATAGAAATTAGTATTTTCATTTAACAGAGGAAGCCCGTGAGGCACACATTGTCATATTAATAGTAAATGGCCTGGCGTATCATCCTTTTGTTTATCCTAGAGCTATCTTCTTTGCATGATACACACTTTTCTTCATTTAGTGCTACTTCCTAGCCAATGCTACATCTTCCGGTCGTAAGGCCCTATCAAATAGGACAGCCACCACATGGTTCTATCATTTTTTCTAGCTATTCAAACCCTACTGCCACTAAAGGCCCAGGTCAGAAACCACCTCTCCCATGCCACTTCCACTATCTTGCTCTAAAACGCTTTTAATAGAAGGTCCAGACAACATTTGCAGTGCATCAGTGTCTTACACTGTGTTCCATTCAACCATCACCTGTGTATACCTCTTCTCCACTCATCTATACGATGCTCTGCAAGCTGTTTGAAGGAAGGAACCATGCAGAATACAATTTTGCTCTGCTGGACATGGTAGCACCAACCTGTAAACTTAGCACTCGGCAGGCCAAGGCAGGAGGATGGCCACAGGTTCAAGGCCAGCCTGAACTATGATCTATATAGCAAGACCCTGTCTCAAAAAAAAAAAAAAAAAATCAAAATTCTGCCCTCCTGGCTACAACAAATAGATTCTGAAATTAAATGACTCAGCTCCTGCTGCTTATATGCTGGGCAAGTCACATAACCTCACCGAGCTTCTGTCCTCCCTGTGCCACCTAGAAAATAGAAATGGTAAGACACCTACTCACAAGATTCGTATGAAGAGTAAGTAAATTAACACACGGTAGTCAGAAGAGTCACAGATGCACAGTGAACTCTATACACAAGCACAGCATTTCACTTCTCTTAGCATAAAAGGGTGAGTATAAAGCTGATCCTTGTTCATGCTCCTGACATGAACCATTTTCTTTTCATTAGATGGAATTTTTATTTTAAATAATAATATTGCTGAGATGCAAAGCCAAGGTTATCACCATTGAGTTTTTCAGATCATCTTGAGAGTCTAAGATATAATGTTATCACAAAAGTAATCACTCCCTCTAAACACATCTCACAAAATAAACAGAAGTTGAGGAAGTCCTTATCATCTTCTTGCATCTCCCTATACAAAGAGAACATTTCTTTGATCTTCTGATTTTTAGGCATCACCGTGATGGTTTGTGTCTAGGTGTACCCCTGAACCCTCATGCACTCTTAGACGGGGCTTTTTTAGAGGTAGCCAAATCTTTTTTAGAGGTAGCTGAGTTTGTGATTGACTCATGGTTCAGTGCCGGGATTTCAGGTGCTGGGATAAAGGCTGGGTGATTTCTAGATCAGTCCACTGACTGGATTGGCACTGCCCTAATTCCAGCAGTCTGGATAAGATAAAAAGGCCAGAAAGAGGCTTGTTTTCATCTCTCCTCTATTTTTGCTTTTGCTGTCTTCCACAGCCATGAATGGCTGCCCCTATGCCATGTGCCACCCTGCCTTGGAGCCAGCGAATTTTGGACTGAAACCTCTACAAACTGTGAGCTAAATAAACCTTTCTCACTTAACTTTGGAAGCCAGGTATTTTATCTCAGCAAAGAGAGAAAAGTAACCAACCTAATCACAATTTCTCTGAGAGGGTAGCAAGTCAGGGCTATTGCTTTCATTTTATTAGCACATATTAATTACACATATGATGAGGTTCACTGTGATATTTCTATATTGCATACAACCAATCATTCTTTTTCTATCCTACCTCTCTGTGCACCCTTTCTAGTCCCTGATAGTCACTTTCAGTGACCAAGTACTTTCAGCTTGACTTTGTTTCTGCATGTGAAAGAGAACATGAAATATTTCTCTTTTTGTGTCTGATTTATTTCACATTCCACCCATTTTGCTGCAAAGTTTCCATCCATTTTTGCTATAAATGATAGGATTTTGTTTTCTTTTGTGACTGATAATACTCCAATGTGTATGTACCTCATATTTTCTGTACCCAGTTATGCACTGATGGGTAGTTAGGCTGATTCCATGTCTTTGCTAGTGTGAATTGTGCCATAAAAGACATGAAAGCACAAGTATTATTCGGTGTGCTGACTTCACTTCCTTTGGATATACCCCAAGATGTGAGACAGCTGGGTCATGTGGTTTATCTATTTTTAGTTTTCTGAGCAGCCTCCTAACTGTCCGGCAAAATGGCCTTATTCATTTACATTCCCACCAATGGTGCACTGCCTTAATTTTACAGGTGGCAAAAATGAAGTATTGGAGGTTAAAAGATGGACCACATCACTGAGAATCTCAGGACTCTTCTAGTCCTACTGTATATCAGTGCCTCAGGTCAGCCAGTTACAAAGCAGTTTACTACCCACAATCGCTCCTGATCCTCACAGAACTTCCTGAGCTTCTTAAGAAGGCATCATGCCGGGCATGGTGGTGCACAACTGTAATCCCAGCACTCAGGAGGCTGAGGCAGGAGGATCGTTGTGAGTTTGAGACCAGCCTGGGCTACAAAGTGAGCTCAAGGCCAGCCTGAACTGCATAGCAAGACCCTGTCTCAAAAAGAAAAAAAAAAAAAAAAAAAAGAAGAAGAAGAAGGCATCAACATCCCCATTTTGCAGGCAAGAACACCCTAATGATGGGAGTTAAGAAAGGCAGAGCCTGAGCTAGAACCCAAGTCATCTGATCCAAGGCCCCACACCCCCCATCTCCTCATGGTACCCAACATCAGTGTGTGGCCATGCAGAGGATATTCTGCAGCAAGGTGCTTCAGAGTTCAGTTTGGGCTTCATACAAACTTCAGCCCGCATCCCATCTTACCACACCAATGTAGGAAAGTTCTGAGTCTTTCTGGGTCTCAGCTTCCTCCTTAGCAAGATGACGATAATACTCGCATTTTCCTCACCAGTTTGAAAAGAGGACTAAATTGGATAACATGAAGACGCTGCCCACAGCAGCAGGCAAATAGCCAGGGTCCAGTCAATACAATCGTGGAAAACATTCCTCATGTCTCCAGCATGTTCCAGCTATGCCGTTATTCCTGGCCTCTCTTCTTACTCTTGCTCTCACTCCCATGGGACTTGATTTACCAGAATGTGCATCTGGAAGGGTACATTGAGACCTGCTCACAGCCATACATTAGGCTCCACAAAGGAAGCCTGAAATTGTTCTTCTCTGGGGTACAGAATTAAGACATCCATTACTGCTTCGTTCCTAAGCCAAATCTTCTAACATAACATTAATCAGTAATGGGTCTGACATTTTGATATCCATTTTTCTGATTCTTACATCTATCTCTTAATTGGTTTGGGGCTTAGGGGGGAAATGTAGGTACTATCTACTGATTCCCTAAAATCTCAACAAACATTCGCTGTTGTTATAAGTATCAAATTATATAAAACTTGTTTACAAACAGAACTGGCAGTGGTCTCTGCCTCTTTGCATCCTATCAGATCGCTGATGTGGCTCTGAAAGGTTTGCCTGGCACATTCAGCAGAAACCAACAGCCAAACCAACGAGTCTCCAACACTTCCAAACCTCAGATCAGAAATGGGTTGAGGACAAAGCTGACTTAAGACCTTCTCCCAGGGCCTTCTTGTGTGAATGGTACGTTATGATTAGGATTCAAAGCCCAGCTAAATCTCTGTCACTTTCTTAATGTTCTGCTGAGTGAGTTTCACCTTGGGCGTCC